GCCTCTTCGATGGACAGCTTTATTGACCATTTCCCTGAGAGAGAGAGAGAGAGCGGCGACCTCATAAATTACTTTTCTCATGGCTCAGGCAAAAGCAGACATCTGACAAAGCAGCTTAAGGGAAGAAGGGTTCATTTGGGCTCCTGGCTTGAGAGTATGGCCCATCAGGACAGACATGAGATGGCTGGCCCCATGGCATCCGGGGTCAGGAAGCAGAGAGCCAGATGCTCAATGCCCAGCTTGCATCATCCTTTATATTTTGTCCAGGGCTCCAGCCCACACTCCACCCTGATTAACGTAACATAGCTAACCCCTTGCAGGAATGGATGCCTGGAGGCTCATCTCCTAGGTGGCTCTAGATTCCGTCAGGCTAACAAAGCTAGCCATACACCTTACATGTCTTGTTGATGGCTCTGATGTGAGCAGCTCAAGGAGGCCGTGGTTCATGTGTGGTGGTCAGTTCTCTCCTTCCATCAGTTGGGTTCCTGGGATTGAACTTCAGTGGTCAGTTTTGGCAGCAAGCGCCTTAACCCACTGAGCCATCTCACTGGCTCTAAAGCAAGACTTTTATTTTTATTTTTATTTTTTTTAAGATTTAGGTAATGTGCCTGCATGTACACTTCCATGCCAGAGAGGGCACCAGATCTCACTATAGATGGTTGTGAGCCCCCATTGTGGTTGCTGGGAATTGAACTCAGAACCTCAGAAGAGCAAGCAGTGCTCTTAACCCCTGAGCCATCTCTCCAGCCCCGCAAGCTGTTTGTTGAACTCACTGCAGGAAGTCAGAATACTTGGACAGCTTTCTTTTTTTTTCACAGTGTAAAATGTCCAGGGGAAGGAAGCCCAGGCCTGACACCCCAGGCTTTCTGTCATCATCAGGGCCTGGGCTCTCTCTGTCTCTTCCCTCCAGTTGACTTAGTGTTCCTCCAAATGCTGCAGTTGCCTTCTGGGGAGAAGGGAGTTCAGACCACAGTTAGAGGACCCGTATTGACGGAGACTGTGCCTCTTTTTTTTTTTTTTTTTCATGGATTATTAACTCAGACACTTTTTTAAAAGCTTCATTTATTTTGTGTATATGAGTGTTCTATCTGCATTTACATCTGCCAGAAGAGGGAATCAGTTCACATTATAGATGGTTGTGAGCCACCATATGGTCACCGGGAATTGAACTCATGACCTTTGGAAGGGCAGACAGTGCTCCTAACTGCTGAGCCATCTCTCCAGCTCCAAGACTGTGCTTTTGAAATCAGAAAATTTGTAGGTTTCCTAGAAGTGCCCGAAGAGCAGGTTGTTCAAAGCATAAATAGCTTTCTGCCTTGCCTTTTATTTTTAGCTTTCTCAGGGGCCTATTATTTTTGTTTGGTGGCCATTGTTGTTCTATTTGCTTAAATAAAAATCCCCTTTTTAGGGGAAATGCCCTGGTGAGGCAGTTCTTACTATAGTGTGAGTTATAGCTGCTGCTTTAGTCATGTCCTAGGTTAACAGTGTGTGTGTGTGTGTGTGTGTGTCTGTGTATGTGTGTGTGTGTGTATGTCTGTGTGTATGTGTGTGTGTGTGTGATGGGATGCAGTATGACAATCTCTGCATCTGCAGGTCCAGGGCTCTGCCCCCCTCCCATAGCACTGGTCACACCGACGTTCCCCACCCTCCATCGTGTTTGGTGGGTGCTCAGAGCCTATCTTCAACCACAGACACCAGCTGGGCTGTTAAGACCATTTGTAACACAGTCTAGTCTCTGCCAACCACGGATTGGCGACCCCAAGGCCTCCTGTCTTCGGGGCCCATGGAGGTCTCAACATAGGAGTATCTGTTGTCACCACCTCCCGGCCAGTCATGGCCTCTGTGCTGCCTGCTGATGAGCCTGGAGGATGGGGAGATAGACACATGGCCTTGAGCAGCGCCCCTGAAAGCCTGGAGCTCAATGGAGCCCTGGATCTTCCTGACCCAGGCCCGAGGTTGTGTGTGCCGGAGTGATCCTCAGAGGGCCTTTCAGTAAAGTACACTGGGTCGGGCTGAAAGAGACAGGGTGTTGTGTGCCTTCTCACGTTTCCTGTGACTCTACCCTTGGGCCTGTAGCTCTTAGTTCCAAGCCCCAAAGGCAGAGGAGGGTGGGGACACAGGGCACTGTGAATGTCATACTTCCGAGCAGGCTACAGAGTAGCCACCCTAGGCTTGGAAGAGGCCCCTGAAGCTCCCCAAAGCTGCCCCACTCAAGCCTTCCACTCCACCCACGAGGAGGGCCCGCCTTCTAGAAGGTTCCGCTGCTGGGCTGTTGCATATCCTGCCTCAACCCCCAGGTCAGCTAGGGGTACGCCCACAGCCCTCTTGCTTTCTTTTCTCAGCTGGGGCTGGGGGGTGGCTTTCGTGGCAGGGCTGGATCAAGAACGGAAGGGCCAGGTAGCGGCAGCAATGGCGGCCAGAAGGGCCCACGTGGAGGTGCGATCAGCCGGCGCTCCTGTAGCCGAGTCTGGGTTGGCGGAAAGGACGCAGACTCCCGTGCTCATTGTTTAAATGTGAAACCCGGCAGAACTGTGAAGGTTATTTTTACCTCCCAGCGTGTGGGTGGAGAGGGATGTTCTGAGACAGGCTCTGTTCCCACAGAGAAAGTGGTGAGCACCTCACGGAGCACTCCTCCTCCGAAGAGGCGGTGGCAAAGGTCTGTTTAGGCGGGAGCAGACCATGGCTGGCCGCAGGGCCTGGACCCCCACCAGGAGCACAGTTTCCTTAGGAGAGATGATTTGTTCGGCTCTCAGAAAGCTCACCAGACAGCACATTTGCAAAGACCCGTTTATGTTACTGACTTACTAGAGTTTGCGCGGGCCGGAACCCAGAGCCTCACATGCTATGCCACTTAGCTGAGCTCCCCCAGCCTCTCTTTGTGGGACAGTTTCTCCCTAACTCGCCCAGGCTAGCTCTAAACTCACTGTATAGGAGCTGGGAATCGGCTGATCTGATTCCCAGAACAGATCGGCTCCACTAGACCCGGCACAAAGACGGTTTTGTGAGCAGATGGGGGCCTGCCCTCCCTTCCTGTTAGCCCTGCAAAGGCTCTGAGCTACCCAGGGCTCCATTGGCCAGCAGGGAGGGTACAAGTATGGTGGGAAGAAACTGAGGCCTGCCTTTTCCCACAGACCGTGCTCAGGAGAAGTCTGTGTTGCTGCCCTCTGCGCATTCTTAATCCTCACCTAGGAAGTGGGGCTGTTCTGATGTGAGCAGGAAGAAACAGAGGCTCATAGACCACGGCGGCCCCCCAGCCGGGAAGTTGAGGGTCTCCATGCATGTAGATAGGGAGGGGGCTTCCGTGGAGGGTGCACGGGGGACCACGGGCTCTGGGATAGCTGTATTAGCATCAATTATGGAAGAGAAAGATACCACAAACAACAGGATTTTGTTGTCTTCCAGTGAAGGCTGGGGGTCCAGATGGGTCCCCATAGCTGAGCTCAGAGGGCAGGAGCCTGCAGGTGCTGATCCCCTCTTCTGTCTCTTCCAGCTCCTATAAGCAGCCTGCAGCCCTCGGCTCCTGGATCCGTCCCCTCCCTTCAGAGCCGTCCCCGTGGTACCTTCCAACCTCGCTGACTTCTCTTCCCTTCACTTACAGGGCTTATGTGATGACTGGAGAACCATATAATCTGTGGCCCACCCCCTCTCCGGAAGCCTCTTCTCGGTGTAAAATAATGCAAGTGCAGGTTTTCGGGGTGCCGGGAGGGTGCTGTGGGGTGCTCTGTCCTGCCAACAGTGGTGGCCTTGGGCAGAGTGTGGTTTTGAAGGTAATGATCGTCCACTCTTCAGGACAGCGGCCCGGAGGAAAAGAACAGGTTAGGTTCATTCCAGAGGGGACTGCGGCCTCCACCAGGGAGTCACTAGTCCCTGGAGGCTGGTGACCCAGCCAGGAGCCAGGGACTCCATGGGATTCCAGGGCCCAGCAGGTAGACAGTATGACGAGGCAGTGCGTCTGTGGGCTACCCAGCCCAGGATTTGGGATCCAGCAGACCAGGGTTCAAATGTCATCCCTGCCTCCTCACAGCCCTCTGACAGGGTGTGGATGGAGGTGTGGGCGGGGCTGCCAGGGAGGAAGCCAACAGATGCTTCCTGTGACCCGGTTTCACCTGCACTGCAGCCTCTGTGGGGTGGAAACAGCAGCTCAGAGAGGCCAAGTTCTGTTCCTGTGAGTGGCTGGGCTTCCCTGGGCCTTGGGATTTCAAGCTGGGCTGTAGCCGCCACGCCGGCGTGCAGGCCGGACCTCCTCACCATTTTCTCTAAATCCACCGACCGCCTTAAATTTAACGCATCTGCTTTCAAATGGAGCTTTATAAGCTCCCGTAAGTTGAAAATCACAGAATTCACGGGCTGGTTATATGTATTTTTTATAAGGCACATTAAAATAAATTTATGACTATAAAAGCGGAAACGTCTGTCTACAGATGACATAAAATGCTGTCACACAAAGCAGGGGTCGAGACCCACAGGTTGAGAATCCATGCTCTGGAGCCGGCTGGCCTCTGTTCTGATCCCTACTCCTTTTTAGCCTAACTTTGTGACTGCAGGTGAGCTACACAGAGAAACCGTGTCTCAACAACACAACACAACACAAAACAAACAAACAAAAGAACAGCCCCTCCCTGGAATGGCTCAGGTGAAGAGCAGGGGGCTAAGCCTCACGGGGCAGCATACTGACAGCTGCTGTTTTCACAGTTTGAATCCTGCCATCAGAACTGCTGTTGGATTTGGGACAGTGTCTTCGCCTCTCCAGTTCGATTTCTAGAAATTTCTCAGGGTGGCGATTGGCATCCAGGAAACGGAGTGTGTACAGGTGTGTAGCCCAGCCCTGGCTAAGCATCGGGGAGTGGTTACCTGCCCCCGTCGGGCTGCCTGTGGTCGGTTGTGACCCTCCCCTCTCCCCCACTGCAGCTGTTTCACCCCAGACTTACAGACCCGGCCCCTGCCGAAGAGGGCAAGGCGGAAGTGAGGCGGGCCGCCTGTGGCTTCCCCTTTTTTTTCCCCTGCTGTGGGCCCAGGGCTCCTTATTCAGAGCCTCGGAAGAGAGGACAGCGCACCATGGCCTCCAGTGCAGCGCCAGTCCGGCAGACATGCTGTTGTTTCAGCATCCGAGTGGCTACCATCGCCCTGGCCGTCTACCATGTAGTGAGTATTTCCGTGGCTGGGGTGTTTGGGGTGTGTGCACTGACCCACTGGACCTTCCAACGGGGATTACTACCTATCACTTGTCTGTGGGACTCTGGACAAGCCCTGTGCTGCTCTGGGCCTCAGTTTCCCCCTGCTGAACCGTGCAGAACAGCATCCTTAAGGTCGCAGGTGTGCAGAGAGAAGGGCAGGCTGGCAACGGAGAGAGGAGTCCAGACTGGGGTTGCTTCCAGGATGTCAGGTCCCACACAAGCCTTGGCGCAGGGCTTTCTGGGATCTGGGGTTACACCTTTGGGCTTCCAGCGGGACCCGGGGAACCCCTCTTTTCAGCTCAGTCAAACCGCTGCCTTCTCCCTTCAAGGACAGCTCCAGCCTTGATCTTGGGGAACCGCTCGGTGCAGCCACCATGACGCTGGGGCTCCAGTCACGGTCACAGTGTGACTCCGGTGGAGTCTGTCCCTTTGGAGTGGCCAGGCTTGGGGTCTCCGTTCCAGTCTGCACAGATCCCCACCACCGCCCCTGCCTTAGTGACTCAGACAGAGCCTGTGGCTAACAGCGCTTCTGTGCCTGGGAGAGCTTCCTCAAAATCGGCCTAAATCCGTAGACTGCTGAGCAGAGCCTGGTGACATCTGCTTCCGGCCACAGGCAGGGCTGTGGGGCAGTGGTACAAACCAGCTCTGTCCCTAGGCTCTCGTGTGTGCTTCCCTGTCACCCCCCACACACCCATTCCAGCCTCTGCTGTGCAGCCTTGGGTGACTTGCTCAACCTCTCTGAGCCTGTTTCTTTAGATCAAAAAATGAAGATGAGGATGAAAAGTGCTACGTGATAGGCTGCTGTGTGGGTGAGGTTGCTCTCTGTAAAGCATGAGGGATGGTGTGTCCCATGGCCCACTGCTTTCAGTGTGTCCTGGCCTGTCCACCTAGAGCAGGGCTTCTCACCCTTCCTAATGATGTGATCCTTCAGTACAGTTCCTCATGTTGCGGTGACCCCCCCCACCATAAAATTATTTCCATTGCTACTTCATAACTGTAATTTTGCCGCTGTTATGAATCGTAATGTAAATATTTATTGGAGATAGAGAGTTGCCAAGGGGGTCGAGACCCACAGGTTGAGAACCACCGGTCTAGAGGCCGGCATGGGGGAGCTCAGAGGTTGCCCTGCTGGCAAGGTGGCGGTACCCTGTCTCGGCATCAAGTCTTGCCACTTCTGAGACGGCACAGCATTCTGGGAAAAGTGTGGTGAGGCTCTGTATGCCAGCTCTGCTCGAGCCAGCTGTTTGAACTCCAGGGTTTCTCCATCGTGGATTCACTTTGTAGACCAGGCTGGCCTCAAACGCACCTCGATCCGCCTGCCTCTGGGATTGCAGGCGTGCGCCGCTGTGCCCGGCTAGATTGGGGGTTTCTAAGTTAGGGGTTTGCAGTGTGTGGGGGCGGGGCGGTCACTAAGTGGCTTCAGCAGGGTGGAGGGGCCTGTGGTGGTGGGGACCCTTGCTCTGCTGTCATAGCTATGCTTTCAGAGAAGCGTGTTCTGTCTGATCGTCTGGTATCTCAGAATATAGCACATATATTAAAAAGTGAATACACCTGGCGGGCGGTACCGGGTGCCCGTTGAGATTTCCTCTTGTTCCTGCCACCCAGGCTCCTAGGTTGTGGATGGGTGAGTTATGTCCTGTCTCCATAGAGATCTAGAGACTGTGGGCCAAGTGACCAGGGAAGGCTTCCTGGAAGGAGTGCCGCAGGTGGGGAGGGCAGAGTTTGGTTTGTAGTGTGTGAGGGGAAGTGTGAACGAGGAGCTGGGGTGTGAGGGTGAGGTGTGCCTGGGTTGGGAGCCCCACTGAGGCTGCCTCGGGGAGAGGGGAGGCTGGCGAGGAGGAAGTGACCAGCGCTTTGTCTTTAGTTGAGCCTTTGAGCCTTTCCTCGGTGCTCCACTGTTATTTGGGGATGGTAGCCCTTTGCATTATGTATGCCTGTAGAGACCCCCTAGCCTAGATGTGGGCCGTGATCGTACAGGCTGCAAACCCGCTGCTTGGTGTGGGAGCCATGGGATGTTCTAGAGCCACAGGGGGCGTACGAGCAGATGAGGAGCCTGGAGGTCAGACACCCACCTCAGGGGCTGGGTTAGGACACACAGCTTACCTTGCTGTCCCCTTGGCCAGAGAGCCTTTTTCTTCTTATAAGAAAAAAGGGCTGGGGGGCTTTCCTTTGGCACAGCAGATGGGTGGCAGGTGTGCTAACAGGACCTCAAACATCTGGGTAGAAAAAAGAGAAGCCACCACCAGATGGACGAGTCACTCATGTTGCCGTCATCTGGAGCCAGCCATGGGTGACATCTTTGTACGTTAGGAGCTATTTGTGGACTCGGGGAGGGTTAAACCAGGCCATTGACGCCAGAGATGGGGCCACACTGCGTGGAACCGGAAGGTGCAGTTACGGGAAGATCCTACCTGGCTGGCAGGTTTGTGGTCTGGTGCTCCAGGCTCCCGGGGAACAGGGAAGTGAGAGCCACCCTCCCCAGATGTTCTGCCTTGGGTGTCTTAAGTTGGTGTCAGGAAACAAGGACCCCAGTAGACTTTTGGAAGAGAAATTGCTGGGCTCGCCTGTGGTCTGTTCCTGATACTGGGAATGGGGGTTGATGGGGGATTGGTAGGAGAGGAAGTGGAGCTTTCTCTGCAGTGACCAGAGAAACCCACACAGACTCTAGCCGTGAAAGGGATGAGCTGAAACCAGAGTGAGCAGGGCTGATGTAATGAAGGTGCTGTCGTTACTTGGGGGACTGTGAAAGGTCGACCTTCCCCCCTGCTTTTCTGTATTTGCCTTACTCTACTTTATTTCTTTGTGGCGAGGTTTTGCTACGCAGCCAAACTGGCCTAGAACTCGCTCTCCTGCTTCGGCCTCCCCAGAGCTGTGTGTGCAGGTGTCACAAGGCATTTCTCCCCCCTTCTTGCCTCCCCCTCTTTCCTTTATCGCCACCCTGGGAAGGGATGGAACCCAGGGCCTCACACAGTCCAGGGAACCACGCCGGCAGGGAATTGCATGCCCAGCCCTCTCTGTGTTTTGACACGGTGTCTTGTAGGTTGCTCAGGCTGGCCAGGGACTTGCGTGTGTCCTGCTTTGGCCTTCAGAACCTCTGGATTACAGGGCCCGCACCACTAGCCTCAGCACACACGGTGCTTTTTTAAAGCAAATCTTTTGTTTTTAGGACAATTTCCGGGTTAGATTTAGTACAGAGCGCTCCCAAGTGAGTGTCCCTCTCCCGTCTCCTCACGGTCTGCGGCTGACATTGGTGGGGACACCTGCCACAGCTTGCCTGTCAGTACCTACATCCTGCTTTCCCTTTCTGTCCTTATCCTCTTTCTGTTTCAGAGCCCATCTGGGACCTATCACCTCGGGGGCCATTCTTCAGGGCAGCAGCAGGCTGTCAGGTGTCCTGGCGTCTCCTGGGTTTGGGATGGCTCGGAGGAGTTCTGTGGAGCGTTTTGTAGACTGCGCCTCATCAGGATGTGCCTGGTGGCCTGTCACAGCGAGCCTGGGCTCCTTTGTGCCAGGAGGACAAGTAGTATGCTTAAGGCATTGTGTAGAAGTGTTGGTCGTGCTACCCACGTCACTCATTACCACCAGTGGGGACATCACCTGCCCAGCGGGCATCTTCTCTGAGATACTGTCTTTCTCCCCTTTTGGGTTGGGGTGTGTGTGTGTTTGTCTCTTTGCCCGGCTCCTATGCGTGGAGTTAGGAGTAGGGTTCTGCCTTTCAGAGAGTGGACTAGACACGCAAATAGCGTGGCTTCCACGTGGACAGCTGTCTCTCCCCTCGTGCCATGCCGTGTAGTTGGCTTATTGGTGTATCAGGCAGCAACTCACAGATAAGCATTGTGTCTGGTTTACAAGCAAGGCAGCTCTACCGTGTTGATAGAGAAACCCTTTTTACACAGAGAGCCGGGTGGTAATTTTCTGCTGTGTGCAGCGTGTAGACAAGCAGGGAAGGGGCAACAGGACTCCTAGGCCCTGGTTGGGGTGGCCTGCCTGCCTGGCAGGCCCCTCTCTGCCCTCAGTCTTCTGGGAATTAATTTTCTTTCATGGGATATTCAAGGAAGCTTCCTCTTTTGGGAAACCCTTCTGACTTGCCTGCCTCAGAACTCCAGGTTTTCCTACTCTGACTTCATGTGTGGGTTGTGACTCGGTATGTGTCACCCGCTGGGGGCAAAGCCATTCGCAGGCAGGTGCCTGTCTTGGCTGTCTGGACCTCAGAATTTCCAGCTGTTAACAGAGGCCAAAGATCTCTGTGCCAAGGGTGAGTCTTAGGAGGTTCTGAGCTTGGTCGTCCTGGGTGCCATGGTGTTAGCGTAATAATTACAGCTCTCATAGCATTCGGTGGTGTCGTTGGCAGCCTTGGCTCTGAAAATGGTTGAAGAGTGTACAGCTCCCACCTCAAAGGTGATAAGAGACAGTTTGCTCTAGAACTAAATACGAGTGACCACGGCCAGGCACACACATTCAGGTCTCCCAGGTACCATGCCTCAACGCCGGAACAGGTTTGTGACATTTTTTTATTTATAGAAACAGAACAAAGAGAGTCGTGAGTCAACAGACTTTTCAAACGCATTGGAAACACTAGGTTACAGCCAAGCAGGGAAGTCTCTGCCACAGGCCTCAGATGCTTATCTGGGACATTTTTAGCCTTTGGGGTGGCAGCTTGGGGTCGGTTAGCTCATTCTGAAAGGATTTATCCAGTAGTCACAAAGACGTTAGTTTAAATACCGGACATGGGCAATAAACGGCCGTTTAGGGCTAAAGATAGCCCAAGATAATCTGACTCTGGACGTGGAGCGTTACAGCCGTCCACAGTCATCAGATCTAATTGATCAGCCTTGTAGTTTAAAGTGTCGTGCTTAGTGTTTTAATCTGCCCCCCGCCACCCCAAAACTTCAGTTAACAAGGTAAATAGGAAGTGGTGGTGTGAGGAATTGCCTGGGGTGGATATACAGGAAGTTGAAGATGAGCAAC